CCCTATCCCCAACTATAGCTAGCACCCGATTCTTCACAAGGACGACCTGCCTCAGTGCTGACACTTAAAACGGATCAGGCAGCCCTTTACGTGCAAGGAGAGTGCATGCCCCTTCCTGCAGGGTCCTGTTGAACCTCTCAACCACGCCATTCTGCTGCGGTTTGTAGGGCACTGTCAGTTGATGCTGGATCCCCTTCCTTTTCAACTCCCCCTCAAAATCAACTCCGATGAACTCCCCACCATTGTCACTGCAAATCACCTTCACCTTGTGTGCACAGTCTCTCTAAGCTCTAGGCATCCACTCCTCAAGGACAGCCACTGCCGCATACTTGATCTTCCCAGGGGGTTTTACCTCATCAAGCAAGTCTGCCTGTGGGATCATGTGACTGGTGCAACCTGAGTCAATTATCCAGTGAGTGAGAGGATGCATCACAAACTTTCCCATAGATCCCACATCACTCTCATGCCCATGCACATCCTCAACCATGAGAAAGATCCCTCGGAAGGCATTACCTTGTGCACCTTCACCTTGTGCACCTGAGCCTTGCACATCGCCACCTTCTGCGCGTTCATCACTTGGCGGCTTTATGCTTGGAGGTGCCCAACCCTCAGGGCTGCTGAAGCCCTTGAACCAAGGGTGCCCAACCTTCTTGCAGTACGAGCAGGTGCCCTCCATTCTAGTACTCCCCCTACCACCTGAGCTTCCATGCCCCTCATTATAGTCACCTCGACCTCTACCTCTGCCAAAACTCCTCCCACGGCCTCGGCTTCTCTAGCCCCCTCTTCCTCTGCCGCGCCCTACAGCTCCATACTCCTCAGTACTCTTAGTGGCAGCGCTGCCTCCTACATGGCATCTGTAGAAGTCCTCCTGCAGAATCTGCTGCCTTAGCCACTCAGGTGTCCATTGATCTTGATGAGTGTTGAGGGTGGGTATGAGCTTCTACCATGTATTTTCAAGCACCGATATTATATTGGTGCACTACTACAGCTTAGACACACTGCTTCCCGCTGCCGCCATCCTCGTATAGGTGACCTTGATCTTGTCAAGGACCGGCTTTACATCGTCCCCAGGTCGCATGGAGATGACAGCAAGTTCCTTCTCGAGCACGATCTCCATTGGGAGGGTGTTGAGCTGAATCACACCGCGTAGTAGTTTCCACACCCTTAGACCCAAATCATCCGCTTCCACAAGATCCTTGATGTGCTCAAACATTTCTTTGTTGACCGATTAAAGGATGAGGTCGAAAAGCACCGCGCTTTTCTCAATCCACAGTTCGCGTGCTTCGCTTTCCTCTGGCATCTTCTCCTCCCCAACCGCAATCTTCAGTAGCTTGTAGCATTTGAAGCCACTCCTAATGCGCCCGCTCCATTCCTCATAGTTGGAGCCATCCAAAGCTTCAACTTTGGATGGTGGCGGCTCACTTGTTTTCTCAGGTTCAGTTCCTCTTCCAGGAGCATCTCCTCCTCTCTCATTCATCTTCTCCTGGGGACGTCTAATTTGAGCTCCCCTTTGCTGTCCACACTCAGCTCCCTTGATATATTCACAATTGTCGGCGTCCATGAAATTTCGGCAGAGTTTCCCCTTAGCGAAAGTCACATCCAACCTTTAGAACACCACTTAGGCACACCCACAGGCCATGGTGGGTCTAGAAGGGTCTTCACCCTTTTGTAGACTCCTCTTAATGTCCTTAATATGGCTTTGATACCAATGGTTAGGATTAAAGAAGGGGTCTAGGTGAACTTAGGAGCTAGAATTACTCCAAATATAAATCTGAAATTCTAGACAGAAAAGTCGTGCCCACAAGTAGCCGTTGGAATGACTAGCCGTTGGAATGTCGCGAATACTCCATCAATCAACGTTATTCGAATTGGAAACGGCAGTTGAGATTACGGCAGTTACAAAGTGAAGTTGTGGGGTGGCTCAATATAGAAATTCGTCACTCTACTGTAGTAGCTGCAAATTAGTCGGGAACAACCAAACTAGGTTGGTAAGTGTGGCCAGCTTGGTTGGATTGGTTGGGAAGGGACAGATGTCAACGTTGGGGTTCCTATAGGGAGGGAAACTTTAAGCTGATGGGATTTCCTTGGTTGGGGACTTTCTTGAGACCTTCCCTCTCATCCTTCTCTTACCTTCCAACCTCTTTCTTGCTCCTCTAATTCCTTGTGAGATTATTGGACCTTGATTGAAGTTTCAGATTGAGTGAAGTTCTGCTCCTACAGCATACCCCCCTGTGCGTCGAAATTCATAGCATCGCGAAAACTACATCAGTCAATGTGATTCGAATTGGTAACAATATCTGAGATTAAGAGATACAATGTGTCCGATTTCCGCGATATTCCAACAGCTAGTTTTCTGTCGACGACGTTTCTTGTGGGCACGACTTTTCTATCCAGAATTTCGGATTTATATTTTGAGTCATTCTAGCTCATAAGTTCACCTAGACTCCATCCTTAATCCTAACACACACCTCCCGCCGCTACCGAGGCCCCACGACTACCACGGCACTGCGAGCGTTGAGCAGTGCGGCCGGAGGCAGTGGCCACTGCAGTGCTCTCAGCGACAGAGACGGAGGCGCCAGGGACAGGGAGCTGGGGTGGAGGGCAGCCTTGAAAGATAGGGGCCACCACCGCGCCAATGGATTTGGCAATGGCGCAAAGACGGGTCTCGACCTCCGTCAGGGAGTCGGAGAAGAGGTCAATGGCGAGCACTGTAGGGTGTTGTGCAAGAAGGGCATTACGTGTAGGAGCGAGGCGGTCAGGGAGGCGGGTGGTGAGGAAGTAAAGGGTGGCGAAGGTGGAGGGGGGGAGGGGGGGGAGGGGGGGGGGGGGCTAGGAGCTGGGCCTCGGATCAGGCCGCACGGTAGCGTACCTTGAGGGAGCGGAGGTGCGTGACGAGATCCGCGACCGTGGTGAAGGAGGCCAGGTCGGGGAAGAGGAAGGGGAGGAGGAGGCGGCCGAGGCTGGCGGAGGACGAGGTCGAGTAGCAAGCGACAATCGCCTCCCAGAGAGCCTGAGCCGTCTCCTGCGACTCAAAGTGGGCGAGCTCATCGACCAGCAAGCACCGGGTGATGGCCACCAGTGCAGCTACGTCGCGAGACCGCGAGACGGAGACGGCGGTCCTTGCAGCTGCATACTCCGCATACCAGCCACGTGGGCCTTCAGCGATGCGCCCTCCACAAGCTGACTCATCAGCTGCCAACGGAGAGCGAGAAGCCATGTCGAGAAACCGATCGCCCGACATTTAGCGTCCAGCCAAAGGAAAAATACTGATGCCTGTTGGGCCGCCATGCCGGGAAGGAAACCAGGTGTTAGACTTACCCGAACAGGGGCAGGGGCTGGTAGGGGCGACAGACGGTGGCAGGCCCGACAGCAGCGACAGCGGCAGAGCGGGCGGCAGGTCCAGCGACAGGATCGATGGTAGGGCCAGCGGCTAGTGGCGAGCGGCAAGTGGGGGCGCCGGAGTCAAAGGCGCTAGTGGGCGCGGGTGGCTTCGGGTGCAGCGGCGGTGGCTGCGCTGGCAGTTGCAGCTGCAGCAGCGCTGGCGGTTGCGGCTGCAGCAGCGCTGGCGGCTGTAGCGGACAGGGCACAGTGGGCGGCAGGTGGCAGCTGCCGGTGGCAGCATGAGTGACAGTGGCAGTGGCAGGTGGCGACGGGTGGCAGCGGCAGGCGGCCAGTGAGAGGCGGCAGGCGGCCAGCGGCAGTGGCAAGCTGCAGTGGCAAGCGGCAGCAGCAAGTGTCAGGCGACCAGTGGCGAGCGGCAGTGGCGAGCAGCAGTGGAGAGCGGCAGGCAGGTGGCCAGCGGCATGCAAGCGGCAGCAGCAGGCGGCGGGCAGCAGGCAGCCAGTGGCAGGCGGCCAGCAGCAGCGGCGAGCGGCAGGCAGGCAGCAGCGGCAGGCGGTCAGCGGCAAGCGGCGAGCGGCAGGCAGCAGCGGCGAGCAGAAGGGGCGAGCAGCAGGAAGTACGCAGGCTCGCGCGCAGCGCAGCGCAGTGGGCAGTGCGCAGCGCGAGCAGGCAGGCGGCGAGCGGTGGCGAGTAGCTGCGGGCGGCCAGCGGGCAGCGGGCAGCCTGAGCGCGAGCTAGGGCTAGGGCGCAGGCTAGGGCGGGAGACTTGGGCGCAGGCTAGGGCAGTAGACTAGGGCGTAGGCTAGGGCGATAGGCTAGGACGAGAGAGGAGCGGGGAGAACCTAGGGCGGAAGCGCGGAGGTTAGGACCTAACCTAGCGATGATACCATATCATGATGAGAGAATGCATTGACTCAAGCAAGGCCCAGACAGGGTTTGTATCTAGGTGTTGTACTCCCTAGAATCTGCACCTAGCTAGGCTATAGTCCATATACACCTAATATATATGTGAACGCTAACATGTGGTGCTGGGATTTGCAGATGGTATGGGGCATGGTGCTGGGATTTGCACATTTTATGAGGCATGGTGCTGGGGATTGGGCATGACATGGGGCATGGTTCTAGGACTTAGGGATGGTATGGGGCATGCTGGTGTAATATGGGATACACAGGGCATGTGGATGATTTGGGATATATGGAAAGTTGGGTTTGGGAGGATTGCACATGGGGTGTGTGGGTAACAATGATGTGAATGGCAGCGGCTGGTGTGGCGTGTATTGACAAGGCATTCTCTTGCACCGCATGTCTGCGTAGCATATATGCTTCTAGGTGCTTGGTCGATTTCTATCTGCATGAATTACGTGTCTGTGGTTGTCACACATGTGCACAGTGAATCAAGATGGGCGCCATGTACTTCTTATTGCACCCATGTCAATTTTTGAAATCATCACTCGCCTCTTTTGACTTGCTTTGGTGCTACTCTCCCCTCCGAGATTCAGATCCCCCATCTCTCCAATGCCCTTGCAGAGCTTCTCCAAAGTGGCTAGCTTGGAGTGTCAAGGCATGGAAGGGCCAAGGATGCCCACTTGTATAGCTCGCACCACAGCTGTCGTGGATCGCCATCCACCATTCCTCCACTCGCTCGGTTGCAGCCAGGCCATCACTCATTATTGACAACCATGTTACCTGCAACCGTGTGCCCGACTTTCACCAAAGTAACAAAACTCCAAGGCCCTCCTGCTGTAGTTTTATTGTACCGTGCTCATACCGTCGGCCCCTCCCTGCTGCTTTCAATCCTTCCCACCAGTCCTAAGACTGGTTCCCGTCCACCAAGAAATAAGATATCCCAAAATAAATGCTCACTAGGGTTCCACAAAGCTAAATTGCGCAAGGTTATTGACATTCTAAAGATCACACGCACGTGGAAGAGCCAGTCCCCCCACCCATCTGCTCCACACGAGCCATTTGAACATTGAAGTTGGAATCACCTGAGCTTTCAATATCCCTATCAATGCGGCATGCAGCTGTGTGTGCCTCACCCCCAAGGATCTCCTCCCTCAGAACCAGCAGATCTCCCAGCACTCGACCCATGGTGGGGCGGGAGGCAGTGGGCATGGCAGTGCAGGTGAGGGCAAGGCGAGCCATGCGCAGCACCAGATCATTCGGTGCGTCCCAGTGAGGGTCCTTGAATGCCGCCACAGTGCTGGATGCCACCAATGGAGCCACCTGCAAAATATGAATGACACAAATTCCTTTGAGACGTCACGATTTATTTGAGCATTCTAAGGTGTTCGGCAATATGGATAATGAATAGAGTGCAAGTGGGAGATGAATGTGGGGCAACATACATAGACTTACTGATGTTAAAAGCATATCGATAGGCAATGTAATCGTTGCAGCGACTGGTCACTTTGTACCACACTGAATTGGACAAGGTATACAATGTCGCTGAAACTTTTTGCTCACCCACTGCTTGAGGTTGATGTGGCTTTCTTCTGTAACACATATGGCCTTGCGCGCAGTGATGACCACCAGCATCACCACTCCAAAGCTACAAATGCCAAGTAAACATTTTCTCCAAAAAAGGAAATAGAAAAGTGAACGGCATCCAAAGATTTCCATACATGTTGGTAAACAGAAAGAAAGAAAGAAAAACGTCATAAGCCATAGTGAACCCCCGGGTCCAAACAATGCTAGCCTTCAGGTTTGAGTGGAAGCGATCTTTCAGAAGGAAAAAATGAAGCATGAACCTAATATGGAGGTTTTTGTTCATTGAGCTCTTGCTCTTGTTTCTTGATATAGCCTTTGCTCGTGTGTTAAAAAAGTGGTGTCTGCCATAGCAGTCTTCTCACCTGTGCACATCTGCTGCCGGGGTGGCCATGTGTGTCTTGTAGTAGGCGGGGTCCACATAGCCTGGTGTTCCCATCACTCGAGTGGCCGCCACAGAGGTGCCCATGGAGGTGCCTCCACTCAGCTTCACCAGCCCAAAGTCCGCAATCTTGGCCTGACCAAGACAAAAAGTACACGAAGAAGTTGAGACAACAAATTATTGGGTGAGATAACACACAAGCATGAACGAAAATGCTTCATGATACGCAAAAGAGTGGTCCTGGTAGAGCCTTTAAAGGACACATGAGTTGAATCATGCCTGCATTTTTGCATCGAGGAGGATGTTGGCCGGCTTGATGTCACGATGCACAATGCCAAAGTCATGAAGGTACTGCAGCCCCTTAGCCACTCCAATCAGAATGTCCAGACGTTGCCGCAGGGAGAGGGGGTTATGCACATTGGGCCCGATCCAGCTCTCAAGGTCATTGTTTTCCATGTATTCATAAATCAAGATCTGCTCCATATACCTTGTGACTGTGTTCACATCGATACAAAAACCAAGCAGTCGTACAAGATGAGGGTGGTGCTTGCTGGCCATCTCCTTCACCTGAGGTTTCGGGTTGAAGTGGGAGAAAGAAAATAAAACGAATGTGTAGATTACAAAAGACCTTTGCTATATGTGGGTAGTGAAAAAGTTGAGCAGCATGGTACCTCTCTTTGGAAGTCATTTGTGAGTACTCTGGCCCGTTTGACTGCCCACATTTGATTGTGATCGAGAGGAGAAGTGCCCTTGAAGACATCCCCAAAACTGCCGCTGCCAATCCTGTTCTCCTCTGCCCAATCCGCCGTTGCCTTTGCCAGCTCTTCCAGGGAGTACTCCTGGCACACATGTGGCCGCACTGCCTCCACCTCCACCACCACCTCATCATTTCTCCCCCCTACTGCTGTTGCTGCTGCTGCTGCTGCTGCGATGGCTCCTGCTGTCGCTTCTGGATCCCCCCCATGTATTTCTGCATGTTTATAAGACATGGTGGGGGAAGTGTTGACTTCATGAACATATTATTATTCTCAAAACATACGGAGAAAAGAAATTTGGAAAATCTGAAGAGTACTTCCTGCTCTCTCTTGTGTTGACCTGGGATGTTTTTTTATCATTCAACACCTACACAGCTGACAGCCTAGGATGGGGGGTTCAACTAATTGCAGCCGGAGAAGTGCTACTTCGGATCGATACCAAGGCTGTCCCAAACGCAGTGCTCCAACTAGATGTGCAAACTCCTGCAACTCTGTCAGGCGGAAAACAATTTGTAAAGGCCTTCGTAGCTCTAACTTAGCTCCACTCCTTCCCATGGTACACCTACAACACTCACCATTGCAAATGATTACAGCGCCAGCAGCAGAGATGTGCACCAGGATGGGCCCCAAGGCCTGCTCCTCTTCCCTCCCTGCTATACCTGCCTTTCTGTACCTACATGCAAATCAGGTACAGATTTCGCTTGGCAAAGCCCCTCACAGATTCCTGCCGTCCATGCAGCACTTTCTTCCTACATCAATATAGCCTTCCCTTAACTGACTTGTAGGCTCTCCTCCTTCCTATGACTACACAGAACACCTGAGGAGAGATGGCGAGGGAGTTGCAGCTTCTTGCCTTGCAATCCGCTGGCCAGCACCACATCCGTACTATGCTCGTTGTTTGTTGTAGAAGCTCCTCGTGATGCTTCCCCCTTGCATCCTCCTCTACAAAGCATGATGTCAAACACCAGAAGTATGATGGAAAGCACAGCAGCAACAGCAATGGCAGCTATGGCTGCCGCTGGGAAGCCGCTTCCAGACTGTGAGGGAGGCGCTCCAGGTGTGGGGGGGGACGTTGGAGAGGCGGGTGCTGGATGGGGAGGGAGTGATGGGTTTAAGAACAAGCGAGCAGTGAGATGAATGAAAGGGAAACCGGGAGACATACATGGAGGGGATTGCGGTTGTGTGGAGCCTAGCACGTCCACGTGCTCAAAGCCCGCTTGATACCGCTGTCAATATGGCGCCACTCTTCACTCGCTGAAATTGAGCATCTGGTATACAGTACGTTTTTTCATTGATTACAACACCGAAACGTGGCGGATTGCCTGGAATCGCCTTGAGGCACAGAACCCCGAAACATGCCTTTTCTGACGCTAAAAAGGGTCAAACCTTGAGAGTTGGCTCGTGCGACGGCGAGACACGTCAGCAGAAACAGCGCGCCGAGATGAAGAGCTGCGCGCTCCATGCCGAAATTTGGTCGTGGCATTGTGATTTTGTTCAGAAACGTTTTTTCGGATGGCTTTTGAGGATCGCAGCGGGCGGGCTGCCTGGATCATGCGGCATCAGAGGGAGCTACTGCGCAGCGGCTTGGCGAATACTAGCGGGAAGATTTATCAACGACTCAAGAGTGGTTTTCGGAACATACCTAAAAAGCGAAAGTAAACGACGTAGCAACGCAAATACTAGGCGAGTAGTACTAGCGGTTGTTGGAGGCGGAGAAGTTGAGAAAGAGCACGAAACTGGGTGGAAGAGCTTTGCTGGAGGTGAAGGGCACCTCTCAGGGGACGCCTTGCCTCGAACTATTTCCTGCCTTGACTGGCTATTTCCCAATTTCGCGACCCTCATCCAATGAGAGCTGCTTGCGAATTGAAGTACAGGTTTGTGTTGCGACGATGTAACCAGGCAGCAGCACCAAGGCTCGCCAACCAGGCTTGAATGATGGTCGTCGATGCCTGGCGAGATTTGCCTCGTTGTCCGTTCCTCGCCGTGGATGCGATTGTTGACTCCGTTGACAGCGGTTTGGAAAATGACAGAATGAGCCGGTACTTCTGCAAATACCGGTTTGCGCAACTTGGCTAAGTTGCACATCTCGCGACGGTTATCTCTGCTCTGTTGAATAGCCCTACCATCTGTTTTGGCAAGAATTGCGACTTTCGGGTTGCGAAATTCGGGGCTGTTTTGCCGAAGTACCACGCCCTAATGTGGTTATGCCAAGGGAAGCGTTTGTGATTGATGAGAACAGCAGTTACGTTGTTGAGTTCCCTGTTCAGTAAATCGAATTTGGTTCAAACAAGTGATATCGCCTCCTATGTGAACGATACTATACGTATATGGGTGGAAATGGCGGTGCTCCATCATGGTTCACAAAAAACGAATCAAAAACATTTCACTGAAAACGAGTAACCAATATGCTACACTGTGCAAGCAGTCTCCACCAAGCAAAAGGACATCCCGTTTAAAGCCCGCAGCTAAAATATCAAAACCTGGGACCAACTTGAAAGCAACTTGGATGGTTTTTTGTACTAAGAAAAGAGATGTGGAAAGTTTTGCAAAACACACTGTTCCGATTTCCAAGGGCCACAAAGCTCGACAACTAAAATTGCATTCTGATTGGTTCTCGCCAATCCAAACGATCCGAAATCACAGTGCGAACGCTGTCAGACCAGGCCGTCATGTTGGAAGGCTAGCTTAGCTAGGAAGCTAGGAAAGACATAAGGTTTAGCTAGGAGGAGCCATGGAGTGGCGTAAGGTTTAGGAAGGAGAAAAGTTGAGGAGATAAAAGAGAATCAGAATAGAAGAGAGAGGGATACAAGGAGGGGTGTTGTACCATCTACAATAAACTTCAGTAAGCCTACCAAGCCTACAATTATATACTAACATATATAATTTAACACGTCAGGCCAACATGTGGGTTTTGGATCATACAAGTTCGCACACAGCCAACGCGACGAAAAATCGAAACGATACGGAAATCAACCTAGGCCTTGCTTCTCTGACAGCTTTTGAACGACCGGTCGCGGTCACACGCAGTTACTAATGCTAAATTATACATTGAGTTATATAATGTGTAGGCTTGGTAGATTAGATGTTACTGAACATTACTGTAGGGGGTACAATACCCCTCCTTGTATCCCCCTCTCTTCTTTCCTAATTCTCTTTTCTCTCACCAACTTTCTTAGCCTAAAACCTCTCGCCATATCCATGGCTCCTCCTCCTACCTAGATCCTAGCTTCAAGACATGGTAACAGAGCCAATTCCCTTCCCGAGCCTGCTCCCCTCGCTTCCGCCGCGCACTCCCTCCCCGTCATGCCTCGCAGGCCTCGTCGCGCCGCGCTGGCCCTGTCAATCCGCGCTGGCCCCGTCGCGTCGCACAGGCCACGCGTCCGCTGCGTTTGCGTCCCCTGTTCGCCGCCGTCGCGGCCTTCCTACTGCCTGCCGCCAGGCACCTTGTGCCGCGGCGGCCCGTGTGCGCTGTCGTCCCAGCGTCGACGAGCAGCCGCGGCAACGACGCCCCGCTGTGGTAGCGTCGTCGTGATGCCATGGCTGTGTCGTCGGCCTGGTGCCGTCGCACACCACCTGCGTCGCGGCTGGATTTGCAGCCCGCCCGCATGCTAGTAAGCGCCGCGCCAGCAATGGCGCCGCGCTGAAGATCCGAAGCCCCACCCCTTCCCCCTTCCCTCCGTCCCCTCCACTTCGCCACAGCCGTCGCCTGACTCTCGCCGGTCATCCCCCTGCCGCGGAGTATGGACACGTCGCCGGAAGGGCGGGGGCCGCTGCCGTTACTGCCGTCGTAAGCCGAAGCCGTCGCCGTCGCCGCAGGCCTGTTGCAGCCGCGCGCCCGTCGTCGCCGTCGCTGTCGCCGCTGCTGGGACGGCCGCCGTCGCCATCTCCAGGGACTTGGGGTTGGCCCTGCTACAGTAGTCGTGGCTGATGGGAATGGGGGTGCTAGGTTAGGGGGTGTGGGGGTGTGTGAGTCCTTGCTACCAAGCCTAGGGGGTGTGTTAAATTATATATTTAATTATATAATATGTAGGCTTGGTAGATTAGATGTTACTGAACATTACTGTAGGGGGTACAACACCCCTCCTTGTATCCCCCTCTCTTCTTTCCTAATTCTCTTTTCTCTCACCAACTTTCCTAGCCTAAAACTTCTCGCCATATCCATGGCTCCTCTTCCTACCTAGATCCTAGCTTCAAGACAACTAGCACATCGAAGCACGCCATTGCTACGCACGCCTCCAACTTGTGATTAGCGACCTTACCGACTGCTTACAGACCGCCACTGACCGATCCTCAGCCGAGATCTTGGGGCAATTGCGGAGTGTACAGACGATGTCCACAAAATGCCCAGCCCGAAAAAAATCCCAATCGACCCCCCCCCGCCCACTAGAACAAGTTTAGGGGCAGTAGCCCTTTCGACAGAGTCCGAAAGTGCCCGCTTGAGGACACGCATATGAAGCGTCATCATAACAGGGGCTCATAACATGTTGATAACGACGGACTCCACGCGGCTTGCTTGCCTTCGCCACACAATTTTCGACGGCGTCGCAATAGCGCTTCGCCCAAACCGAAACACCTTTCGTTATTTTCGCCTAGCCGAGTCATGTCCAGGTCGACAAGAAGAATGAACTTACACCGTTCGACCAAATTATGTTTGCTTAGGTGTACGCGGTTCGGTTTTTTTCGCCACACAAATTTCGACGACGTCGCAATGGCGCGTCGCCGCACCCAAAGTAGCCTGTCGGTTTTTTCGCCGAGCCACGAATAATACAACGTAGACAGGGGCTCCAAATGTTACACCGCACAACTGAAATTACATTCGCTGACCTGGCGACCTATCACGTCAAAGCCAAAATCGGACGGCCCCCCGCGACGCGGCAAACCCAACCCCGAGCCGCAGCATCGAAGCACGAAATGGCTTTTACACAACACGCCGTTCTAACATTCTGGTCGTTGTTACATTGCAAATGTCAAGTCAATGCTGAGCACAAATGCATGTTTTACAAAACGCGTTGGGCAACGGCAGTTACCAAATAAGAGACGCAACGTACCAAAAATGAAATCCGGGATTGGAAGCACGCACCAAAAATCACAACCCCGAA